GAGGAGGACATGAGGAATAGGGAATACGGAGGAGGACATGAGGAATAGGGAATACGGAGGAGGACATGAGGAATAGGGAATACGGAGGAGGACATGAGGAATACGGAGGAGGACATGACATAGGGGGAATACAGATGTCAGGAACCGGATCTGAACCCGGGGCCTCTGCTTGTGTACCGAACCCGGCCTGTTATACCACCAATTGCCTGCTGCTTCAGCTACTGGACTCTGAGCCTGATCCCAGACCCTGTCAACAGAGGAGAACATGACGTAGAGGAGACACAGAGGAATAGGGAATACAGAGGAGGACATGAGGAATAGGGAATACAGAGGAGGACATGAGGAATAGGGAATACGGAGGAGGACATGACGTAGAGGAAAACAAGATTTAGAGAAGTTGCAGAGGGACAGATGGTTGCAGGAGTCACCGAGAGACATACAAAATGAAGGACACAGAAGGAGATATATCATTTGAAGGGGGCACAGAGAGAACACTGAAGAATGTATATAGAGGAGACACAAAGGTACATACAATTTAGAGGATTATATGGAGAGGATACAGAGGGACATACATTGTGCATTATAATAAGAGGAACATACAATATTGGGGAGACACAGATAGACATACAATGTGGAGAAGATGAAACGGAGGGACATATCACGTGGATGAGCCAGAGGAAGCCGGCGCTGTTATCAGTCACTTCATTGTTGGCTAAACAACCAGAAAGTTATATAACTCCGGCCTGGAATCCAGGGGTGTTGTTGGGTCAGAGGGAATGGACCACATTATCTTTGTATCTGCCGTCCATTATCTCAGATAAAATCACCTGCTACCAAACTCTCTGTATACTATTCTACACATTACTTTGAATGTTGCTCTGAGAAGACCATGTCAATGCTGAACCCCCGACATCTACCTTCCCGCAATTCACTTATTGGAATAAACCTTTGCAGCCATCATCATTCTTTCTACTACAGCATTGCAGAATGTTCTGAAGAGTGTTCCAGGAGTGACAGGCAACCAGCAGATTTCTAGTCACAGATCTCCTCCAGAGTCGCACAATGTGTGTCTCCACCAGCATGCAAGCAAGTAAGAAAGCTGTTTGTTGCCTGTCACTGCTCTAAACAGACAGCACGATGTATGTTTCACAAAGTTTGGGAGTGGCAACGTTAATTGTAAGTCATATAACAGGTTCTAATTATGATAATGAGCATCCAATGGAAACAATTTACAGAGAAGCAGCAGGTAAAGTCTGCAATGACACCGGCTCTGAATGAACGCTCCTCTCTGACATAACACACACAGCTCATGCCAATGTGAAATGAGAAAAACAGCCGAAGCTTCCCGGAATAGGTGGCCTGGGATTGGGCGTTATATTGGTACATTTGGAATAGTAATCATATTAACGCAGTGAATGTGTTGCCATTCTTAGATTACATAGAAGCGGCTGTTTATTTGTACAGAACAGGTAACATTATGTCACCGCCGGAGAGTCAAACAAAGTAGAAGCATAGTAGATCTGTTGGTGTGACAGATCTTGCTTGGCGGACTTGGTGTGTGGGCCCTGGTATGATGGATCTGGTGTGTGGGACCTGGTGTGGCGGATCTGGTGTGGTGGATCTGATGTGACAGATCTGGAGTGGTGGGTCTGGTGTGACTGACCTGGAGTGGTGGGTCTGGTGTGATGATTTGGAGTGGTGGGTCTGGTATGGCAGATCTAGAGTGCTGAGTCTGGTGTGGCCAATCTGGAGTGGTGGATCTGGTGTGGTGGATCTGGTGTGACTGATCTGGAGTGGTGGGTCTTGTATGACTGATCTGGTGTGGTGGATCTGATGTGACAGATCTGGAGTTGTGGGGTCTGGTGTGACTGACCTGGAGTGGCAGATCTGGTGTGACTGATCTGGAGTGGTGGGTCTGGTGTGATGATTTGGAGTGGTGGGTCTGGTGTGGCCAATCTGGAGTGGTGGATCTGGTGTGACTGATCTGGAGTGGCGGATCTGGTGTGACTGATCTAGAGTGGTGGATCTGGTGTGACTGATCTGGAGTGGTGGATCTGGTGTGACTGATCTAGAGTGGTGGATCTGGTGTCACTGATCTGGAGTGGCGGATCTGGTGTGACTGATCTAGAGTGGTGGATCTGGTGTGACTGATCTGGAGTGGCAGATCTGGTGTGGTGGATCTGGAGTGACTGATCTAGAGTGGCGGATCTGGAGTGGCGGTTCTGGTGTGGCGGATCTGGAGTGGCGGATCTGGTGCCTGTTTCAGGTTGTATGGTGACGTTGTGTTTCTATTGGCCAGTGATAGAAGGGAAGTCAGGCAATCCCAGAATGCTCTTCTTCTGTGTTGATTCTCAGACACATTTGCAGCTGATTTATAGGAAATAAAACACTCGATTTCAGGTCATGTCATTAACAAATGTGCAGACTTCCATTTCCTTCCATTTATTCTTTGTGTGCAAAAAAAATGTCCTTTATTAAAGTGCAGATTTAAAATACAAGTGAGGACTAAATGTAGAGCAGCCCAGCAAGAAATATAACAAAAATAGATTTTTGGTGACCTGTCATGTTTGCTTTTGAAACAAACCAACAAGAATTTCTGTCCCTGTCCTGGGGGCCCAGCAGGGGGCAGTCCTGAGCGCAATGTCACCTATAGCCGCCTTGTTATCAGGGCCACTACTAGAAACATCAGTACAGCCGGAACACTCCCATGATGCATCACTGCAGCACTCCTGTTCCTTTTGGTGCGGGGTCCATTGCAGAGGGACGTGTCACAACAGCTGATACAAACTGAATTGACTTTACCCGGAGTGCAGAAAGACTGGTATCCAGCAGAAGCGATAAGACAAGCAGCTGATGAAGCACATGACTTGCGATATAATATGCCTGGAAAAACAAGAAGAGCCAATTACTTTCAGATCAGAGAAACGCTGATCTGTGAAATGAACTATTGATATTCTGTGAGATAGAAGCCGATCCCCTCCACCTGCTTCTTGACTATCGAGCTGTCGGAATGTCCCAATCATTGTTCCTGATCAGCATAATGTGCCATGAATGTAAAAACACCCACCAGAGCCGAGGGATGTGCCACCGGTGGTGAAGGTCACAGCATCATTGTGGGGCCACTCCAACCACCATGACAATACTACCGTACAGGAAAAAAGCATTCATTGTGAAGCCTCGCTAACCCGTTTACAACCTCCATCAGGCTGAATGTGTCATATTATTAGATTGTCAGTTCACAAGCCCATTGCGGATTCTGGCAAAATGACACTCAATGTGGCCACACCATCTCTGATGTAGGAAGCCCCTCGTCCAATGGCACCGGCATGAAGGCGTAGAGCAGTAATATTTGCAGTGCACTATGAGGGATTTGGGGAATGGCCACTCTAAACACTTTACTTGGTTTATATCAAACGATCAATGCATCATACCCCCAACAAGTCCCAGTCTGTAGCTGAATGGGCTATAGGAAGCCAAAGCTGGCAACAAGGTGAGTGAATGATAAGCCTGGGTGAAAGGGAATGTGTCAGAGGTGAGGAATACGTCACTGAACCGAAATATGTCTATAAAAAGAACCTACAGATCCAGCCAGAGGCCACCAAAGACACACGGCCAGTGCGGGAGAATACTGGATGCATCATGGCAATTCTTCAACTCTATAATAACACTTCAAGAAGAACTTTCCACTTCTGATCATCTAAACTAATAATAGAGGACCGAAGGCCCGAATCTCCTCAATTCCAGACACACAAAACCTGACTTTAATGAAGGGCCACAGACCAAGAGAACTGAAGAGATCTCACAGACCCGAATCCCATATGAGCAGTCAGTTCACAAACCATGAGATGGAAACCACCCTAAGACCAAGATGGACACTCACTAGAGAGGAGATAAGGACTCCACTCTATATCTTATGTAGTAAACTGATGAGAATACAACAAGCTGCTGTGTTAGCGAATTCGGCCTTTACAAAGTATTTTGGTTTACTACAAAATGACGTCTCAAACCTTCATGGCCTCATTCTCCAGCCTAAGGGTCCACAGTGAGGAATCCATACTTATTGTCTCTGGAGATCAGCTGGGACAAGCGGCCATTTCCATGTGGACTCTTCTGTTACATCTAGGAGGACATTGTGGAGAAACATTGAGATTGGGACTCAAATATAAACAAAGTGAGTAGTTCTAGACTCAGAACAATATTCATATTGGAAGCTGTCGAAGAATTGGAGGAAATGAGTGCCAGTCATGTGACCGTGATAAGATGTCCAGGAAAGTCTAAGAGGAAATAATCAGAGATGAAGTTATTGAGAAATGTTCCACTCCGAGGGCCACAACCTTGGGAGCGTATTCTAATGCTGGATGAGGAATGTTGAGTTATCTCCAAGCTTTGCATGCTAAGAACATGAGAAGGAGACAGAACACATTCACATTTACTTTGTAAAGAATACTCAACCATGTGTCAGGAAATAAAAACACCGGATTGGATGATTGAAGGCGGCGTCACCTCACTCGCCAAGCTAAAATGCCTGACTTCACTTTGTGAGGTGACGTTGTGCTGCCTTCAGTCAGGTTTTCATTCGTTTCCTGGCATGTGATTGGTGGTTTCCTTTTATTTTACCTCCAAGATAAGTGAAAATACAAGTGAACTTGCTCCACTCCATCGATAAATCTACCCGACTGAGAGGGAACAAAGTGCAGGAAATCACAGAAGTCTTCTCTATGAAATGTGAACCCAGAGCCCATTCCACTCCACGTTCCCTCTCCACTGCAGAGTATTGCGTTAGTACACACGTGGTAACACTGACAACGCACCAGAACAGACAAAATAACAGACGAGACCATTGCTTCTAACGCAGCGCAACACAAAGCATTGCGTTATGTATTGCGGCATGCTACAACGTATATCCTTTGGAGGTGCATTGCCTTACTGTGTCGGGGTGCCAATGACAATACGCTAACACACGTATGGCGGTAAGACACACTTTATTGCAACGCACCGCAATGGTCAGCTGTGATGGGCAGAAAGGGTGACACGGGTCAGAGTTATCTGGCTGCTGTTTGCTGCAATTACTATTATTAGACGGCAATGACTTGTCAGCAAACATGGCAGCCGTGTCTGATTTCTTCTAACACTAGTAGTGAGCCCTGGGGCCACGTGCAGGACACCATCTCCCTCCAGGGGACCACACTACAGCACTTGGGCCGGAAGGTTGGGTCACCTCTTATCTGTAGCTGGAGGACCTTAGCTGTGAGGAACAATTACATGGATTATACTTCTTCCCTCTGGAGCAGATCATAATGTACAGATATATGAAGAGTGACTACAGTAACTATAAGAAACTGTTTACGGTTCCTGATAAAGACAAGCGGCCACAATTTGAGGTTGGACACAAAGAGTTTTACCTCAGATTGCTGAACGGGTTCTTTACTGTTAGAGTAGTATAAATGTGGGACTCCTTCCCTGAGTGTGTTGACATATTCAAAAAAACTTGAAGATGTCTTCCTCAGGGAGCTGAATACAGGGCTAAGGAGCTTGTTAGACTCGCGCACACACACAGGTCAGCATGGATGGACCCGTGTCTTTATTCAACCTTATCAACGCCGTGATCACCACCAACAAATGAGGCTGCCAAATGAAAAGATATCACACAAATGAGATGACAGGGTTGGTGTTCTCTGTGGCCCCACACAGTATAGACTACTTCTTCAGGAGCCAATCCTAAGCATGGGGATTACAGGACTATTCTGTCGGCAAGCTGAGCACTTTCTGATGTGCAGAGCCAATACTCAGACTGAAAATAAGGCTTTGGCTGTTCACACATATCTTTATCACACGCCATTGGAGGTGGTCTACTCTCCTCACTCTCCAGAGGTGGACTCTCCGTCTTCCCTCTTACTGACTTAACTGAAATATTGACAAGGAGCTATAAATGCAGCAAATGCTCTTTCTAGATTATCACCCCCAATACGCTTGCTTTATGGTTGCTGATGCAGCTTCCTCTGCAATGAGAAGACGGAATGTGGAAGAAGCTTCAGTGTTTCACAGCTGTGGAAATTCAGCTTGGGGCATGGAACCAATGTGCGCTCGTCTAACAAAAAGTAATAAATGAGTTTCCATTGCAGGATAATTCATCCTTCTCCCTCATCATTTCTGAAAACAAACCCTTCAGGTGGCCCATGAGGCATCAAGCTATTTTACACACCAAGCCACAATTATGTGGAAAGGTTTGGTGGCCAGGAATTGATAAGACAGAATCTCGTCATGTTGAGCTTGTCAACTTGTGGGCTGCAAACCAGAACCAGCTGCATAGACAGCTTTCCCGACCAGTCAGTGTGTGGTAGTGATTGTCACAACTGATATTGCTTCTCATGGATTTCCTGACCTCAGGCTAGATGATCATGGATCACAGGTTTCTTCAAAAGAAGTTCAGGATTACGTGGCATCAAACGCATCAATTTTACATCCTCACGCTACACTTTAGTGGCCACAAGGTGATGGAGATGTGGAATGGCAGAATAGGACTTGCTTATTTCAAGGCAAAGGATGAAAAAAGGAGTTTCTTTAGTGTATGGCAGAAGTAAGTTCTGTTGGGTGTTATGAATGATCCAACTTCCTAAGCCTACAAGACATTTCCAAAAGGGTGGGCAGTTATAAATCCAGCAATATGTAGACCCGAGAACACTACCAGTCTAGTGTATTCTAACAAGGAGAAAGTAGTGCTCCTACAGCATCATTGTAACAAATAGTCTCCTTCTTATAAAATGGATCCATAGACTGTGCAAGAGGCGATAGGCACTCAGGATGTTCTGGAGGATCCACAGGAAGGAACAATTGTTTAGAATTCATCATTTGTTAAAAAAAAAGTTCGCCATGTCTGATGACCAAGCAGCAGAAGCTGGACAACCACCCGAAAGACCAAATAGTCACAGAAGCCTTGTAATAATAATATTCTAAAGGTTACAAAACAAAAGCAATAGATGCCGGATACAATAAATAAGCAATAAAAAAACCCATATGGAGTATTATTGCTGCCCTTAGTATCAGGAGGTCCAGCTGCACCACGAAACCTCTAGGATGTTAATTAACTTACCACAGACACAACTGTAAATCACATCAAATCAACACTGGACTTCAGTAACAGAAATAATAAATGGGGCTCCATACCCGAGATATGGTCCTCCTACCCAATATCAAGAAGAATCCACCAGGGTGCTATAGATTTTAGAGAAAAAGGGGAAAACAAAGCCCAAAATATGTTCTTTATCAAAACCTGAAGGGCTGGAGGTTGGGAATTTCAACCCGGGAACTCCAAGCACAAACCGGAACAGGCACCATGCTCACCAATCAGTTAAGAAGGTCTCAAAACTCCCCCACCTACCCAATTAACCCTTTGTCAACTTTCCTCCATCTAAATTCAGTCATGCCAGTCCTCTGCCAAGCTCTTCAGACCAATCTTCAGCCTCCCCTGACATCTCACTTTGTGTAAAATGTGGTTCAGCAAAAGCCAGTGTCCCGATATTAAAGGCCTAGCTACCTGTGTCATAGACTACAGGAACCAAATGCAACTACAGTAACCAGGCAGAGTGGCAGAGCAGATATCTCTATGTATGAGCATTCCAAAGGAGACTCCCTCAGGTATACAGTAAACTTCACCTAGCCAGCAATGCGATATACTATGCCAATCGTGGACCCAGTTAATATTAATAGCTTCACAGCCATAAACCAAGTAGTGAGGAACCTCAAATATTGCAAATCATGGCACCAACTGTAAGAGGTCATCAAATGATCCATCTCATAAATGGATTACCAGAAAACATGAGGCTGTAAGGAACTGAGGCAGCCTGAGGTCACAACGGCGGAGACTCTCATACTGAGCTCCTCAT